ATATAAAATATTGACAAACACCAGAATAAAATTTCGGAACTCTAGTGTATTAAATCCTTTGAAAAAAAGTGCAATAAATCGTTTTTAAGCTGAATCAAAAAACCGAAGTTAAGAAATGAAAATGAAAAATGTGGCGATATACATAATGAACACCATAAAACATTAGATGTTTTTTTGAAATGCATTTTATATACCAGTTAGAGAAATTATTCGGGGACGTGATTTCATGAAAATCTTTAATTGTTTGGGGTCATTTTAAAGATTTATTATTTTTCTTTGGTGCGCAAATATGCTGTTTTTACTGAACAGTAAAACGTTAGGCAAAGCGTTACGCATTTTATAATTATTTATTTTAATGCAAAAATATTTTCTAGATCCTGATAATTAAATTTCTATGGATATCGCAAGAAGTAGAGTTTTCGGCTTAGCATTTCGTGTATTCTGGATAGAATTATCCTTGAAATTCATGCATTCAATTCAAATTTATTTATATTGGATAGAAAAGTCACATGATATGGATATTGACAGCCAATTATTGCGGTATTTATGGGTGAATTATTTATTCGTACGGTATTTACATGTAATATTTATTTATCATCATTCTGAACATTATTCTCTCTTAAAAACAAGTGTTTAATTTCGATTTTCTTAAGAATAAAACTTGATGTTCTAATACCATTAAATAATTGTATATAAACTCTATTGTAATGATGCAACTCATTGTAATGATGCATTTTCCACATTTTATGACAAAATTTTTTTTTTGTTCATGGGTTAAAGATTTCCATGAAATTCTGGTTTTCAAAATGTTTTATTATCACACATTGATCCAACCTACCTCACAGTTTCTTAAAAATACAATTCTGAAAAGTAAATTTAACCAAATAAATAGTTTTTTTGCTATGCTTGATGGTGTCATGGTAAAATTACCAAATTTTATTACATATTATTAAGCAATATTTTTCTTGTAAATTTTACCAAAATTATTACCAAAGTGGTTCGGTAAAAACTACTGAGCTTTTTGGTGTTCTCATTTATTCAGGAACACCATAGATTTTGTAATTTTCTGGAAGTTTTGGCCATATTTTTTTTTCATAATTTCTCATAACGTCAAAATTTCTTTGGAAAAAATAGGTTTTTATTAGATTGAGGAGATGATTCATATAGGTATTATATAAGGCAGTTTATAGGTCTTAGACAGGCTTATTTTCCATAATTATTCTTAATACATCCAAACGTTTCTTTATTTGACTTAAATATGAACTGAGAGAAGGCAATCCAAAATTTTTATATTTTTGATTAAAACGACTACTTTGTTGAGTTTGAAGTTTCGCTCTCTGCTTGATCTTACTGAAAATTGCTATTTTGACTTTGAATTATTAGATATTTTAAAAAAATATATTAAATAATTTTCCATAATGTCTTTGTACTTTACAGAATTCAGTTTCCAATCAGAAAAGGGTAAATGAGTATAAAGTGTAATCCCAACCCAATTTATTAAGAATCTGCCTCCCTTGCTATCTGATGAAACATATTTTTAATATTTCGTTCTTAAATAGCTTCAAAAATACTTGTAACTGAAATTTTTTTTTTCTCACTTCGATGAAAATATAATAGCCAGTTTTTCCTATAACTTGCAAATTTTTTTTGTCGAATGTAGTCGTGTGGTTTGCGTTGCATTTTCAAAATGTGGTTTATTTGCTATTTTGTGTGTGCAACATTGGTCCAATATTTTATTTTTCATCGAATTATGTTTTTAGAAACTCTATAGCTTGAAACAAGAAGTCATAAAGACTCTTTTTTTTAATGCTCTTTGTTTATCTTCCGATTTTCATGAATCAAAGATTTTAATGTTTGATTAAATTACTGAGACAATTAATTAAATAACTTCCTCCTGATCTACAAATTTTGAGTTTTTAATCTTTTAAGCTTTCTCGTTTGTTTTTAAGCTTTTGATTGATTTTCGATTATTTTTTTTCCTATTTTAAGTTTATAATTATAATTATTTTTATTTTGGAAAGTTCTCTAACAATTTTGCATTAAAAAAAATAAAAATATGCACTTTAAATAAAGGCAAGAATTAAAGCGAAACTTTAAGTAATGGAGACTAATTATCATTTTAAATGGACGCAATTGTTTGCAAGGTGGTTAAGAAGACTTTTGAGAGAGGAAGGGTACATAATAAGGATTGATAATTGCACGTAAATCCATGGAACGAAATGGCATTGCGCGCTTATTAATATGCTTCCTTATTATTAAAAGGCATTGTAATAATAAGACATTGTATGATAAAGCATTGCATTATATATGGCATTGCATAATGAGGCATTGCTTCCTTATTAATATTTTCTCACTAGTGATTCTTTTAATTACTACTATAATTTGAATAAATTAACTTAATTTTATATTATCTGATAATTGTCACCAAAAATTGGATTCAAATACATTCAGAATTAAAATAGATTCTGTTTTAACGTAATTTAATGACATAACGTCCACTTGGCGCGTTTTACAAGTTTATCGCCAAATCATTAAATTATGATAAAAACAAACGTTATTTCTTAAATGCAATTTTCCACAATAATTATAATTTTTATTCCTTCGTAATATTAAGACATTTAGAAACATAAAAGTACCAGTTGGAAGACACATGAATGGGAAATTCATAATAGGCATTGTCCCTAGCGGTCCACAGTGACATTATTGGCTATAGGTTGATATCCTTATGATTTGCGTGCCTTACACCTCTTCTAAGTTTGAAATGTCTGTACTGAGTCAAATCTGTATATTTATGTGACAGGCGTCATCAACAATTTTTGCATTTTATTAAATAAATACCTCAATATATATATATTTGCTTTGTTTTTTGAAAATTTCTACTAATTAAACACTGAAATAATAAATTACAGCTATATTTTATTAAAGAAGGACGCATTTTCAAAATAAAAAGACAGATTTTGGTTTGTGTCGATACTTTTGAGTTTAAATTAATATTATTTCTATTGACTCTAGGATTAGCCAGTCGTTCTAGCAATTGGCTTTTAGCGAATTAACTCATTAACTTCTCGTTTAACAAGAAAGCACCGCGAGGGGGGGAAATTACCGCGTGCCATTACACAATTTCGGAGCATTCAAATTAATAAGCAAAATTATAGGTGAACCAATCTTCAATCGCAAATTATGGGTTGGCATTCCAGGTAAATCCAGTGAATTTAAAAACTTGGCAGGATAGTTGACAACTTCATCAGGATCAACAACAGTGTCAATCGAGTTGAATGTAATTTTACTACCAGGCAATGATTGTTGCACTTTAAAATTGATTGCGTCAAGATCTAAATTTTTTGCGGCTAAAATAGCTCGCTCACGTAGCCATGCATGATTAGTATAATTATGTGGCAAATCTGGAAAGATACTTTTTATTAACTCCTCTTTGGTAGGCACCATGTTGCAAAAATTCTGTGGGAGTCGAATATATTGTGTATCTTCATACAATCGAATTTTACCATTGCCAATGTCTAACAGTTGTTCAGAGAATCTTGACGCTAATGGATCATTTTGAAGTTGAACACGCATATAAAGAGTAAGGCATAATATACTGACACTTCGCCACAGATAAGATTCCTTCAAACATGCGTTTATTTCGTCCGCATATGTCGCACGTGGAATGACGGGTAATGTTTGTCTGAAATCATCTGACAGCAGCAGTAGAGCACCACCAAAAAGCCGAGTATTATCTTTGATATCTTTTAGGGCCCTGTCGAGAGCTTCAAGCGAATGCTTGTGGGCCATTGTACATTCATCCCAGATAATAATTTTACATTTTCTCAAAGCTTCGGGCATGCCTGAATGCTTCTTTATGTTACACAATGCTTCGGGATTGGTATGAATATTCAAAGGTAATTTAAGTGCTGAATGGGCTGTCCGTCCACCATCAAGTAAGGTTGCTGCAATGCCTGATGAAGGAATTGCCAATGCAATATGATTTTGAGATCGAATGCACACAAGTATTAGTGAGATGTGGAATGTTTTACCAGTGCCACCTGGTGCGTCCAGAAAAAAAATACACCTTGTTGTGCTGCAATTGACACGTTAATTTGATCATATATATTTCGTTGCTCAGCAGTAAGCAATCGTTTATTGTTAGCAACAGAAGTAGCCAGAGAAGTCATATTGAACTGGTGTACACGTTGAACGTCGCTGTTGATGATATCTGCTGATTGGAGGATTGGCGCTGGTATGCCAAAATTTATGAGCGGCATGTTCGAAATAAGAATACAAATATCCTCAATCATTATTAATGCCTCGTTATATATTTCTGCGGAGAATTCAATACTGAGATTTTGATTAGTAATTCTAATCCGATGCAAAATATCCTCACTCATTGAGTCTTTATATTTATTCTACAGAGCAGATGCTTCAGACGGAAAACACGTTGTCAATATTATTGAAAATAATTGACGAATTTGCTGTGGAGATGAGCTCAGTACTGCATCTGCAAGTGTGAGGTCCCAATGGTTATCATCCTCCAATAAATGTAACTCACGACACGCATCAAAGAAAGTGCCGTATGAAGTACCGTTGACTTTTCGCAAGTATTGGAAGGATATCGGTCCAGGAACGTTAACCAATAACAAACACAGAAAAAAGCATTCGTGTTGCTTAGGATGAACTGTATATAATCGTCCTAAAGTATTTGTCATAACTATGTCGGCAAATCCTGGGACTGGAGTGCCTCGTTTCCGTGGTTCCCAACTTTTTAATTGTTTATTCCATGTAAAAAATTTAGGAACATCAGTATACATTAATGTCCTTGCAAATTCACCAACAATATCTTGTCGATTGCAAAGGTTGAAAAATTCAGTAAGAGTTGTTTTTGGAGCTGTTAAAGCTTGTTGTAGTGCATTCTATTCTGTGAAATAAACACGCTGTCCATTTTCAAGATGCACAGCCAAATGTACAACAGCAGGATCCCTTTCATGTATAGGAAATGTAAAAATTCGCTAAATAGCTTCATTACTACTTATGTATCGTCCCATTTGATAATGTGTTATTTCGTCATTCTTATTTACATTTTGAACAGCAAATATAGCTTTACCACTGCCCTTATTAACGTACTTACAAAGGTACTTGATAGACTTCACCGAACTGAATAACTCAACGTTTATGTGTGCTTTATAGGTTTTGCACAGCAATGGCGAGTATGGAACCACCCAGCGATTATAGATGTCAACTCTTACACCGTTTGATAGACGCAATTCATATGATTGACTGCCATTGTCTACATCTCTACGACGGTAAGATGGATAACCATCGATATTGGTGATAGTGTCAGTTTGACTTGGTTTAGGAAAACGTTTCGTACATTTTCCCTTATCCGTACATGGTGACATCATATTGAGAGAACCACGTGGACATTGGATCATATTAGTAGTCACAATATCAAACAATTCTTGATCAGCATTCGAATTTGGAATTTCCGCTGAAATAATTTTGTCAATTACTTCTGGGCGTACTTTGTCCACCAACCAAATCAAAATATGCGCATGAGGTAAACCTCGTTTTTGCCATTCAACAGAATAAGTTTCACCAAATACCGAGTGATGCGTAATCAATTTCATCAGAGATTTAAATTTTTGTTTGAACACACGTGCAATGATATCATGGCGATGCATCGATGTTTGACCTGATAGCAGCAAATTTTTAATTTCATCCCAGTTTGGATTACACATAAATGTGATAAAAAGATCTGGTCGGCCGTATGCGCTTACGTAAGTCATGGCGTCTTGAATATATTCTTGCATATGACGCGGACTACCAATGTATGATGATGGAAGAATATATCCGATGTTGTTGATATCATTTGTTGCATCTACGTTACCGATTATGGCGTCACGCAAGTGAATGTACTCCTCAGAACGAAGTTTCGCTTGATTAAATTTTATATAACGCAATCTCTCACTTTCGATTTTTACAACAATGTACTGATGAAATAGCTGTCTGCATCGGAGAATGTTATTATCTTCATTTTCACGAATCATCAACCGCTATGCGTAGAAGTTCATCGCACTAACTTTCTTGATTAGTTCTTCACCTGTAAAGAAAACTATTTATAAGATGAACAGAAATAATTGGTTCAAAAAAATTGTAAAATAATCTATAAGTTGTGCCTGTTGTTGGATTCCTTTGTTTAATATTTAAATGATATCCATCTTCTCCTTCCAAAAATATCAACGGATATTGCAGTGCGTCGTAAGAACGATGATTGTCTTGAATTATTTGTATTGTATTATCTCTGCGTTGTATGCGAATATCTCGACGTTCACATGGGTCACCAGCCATAAAAATTGCAACTTCATTAACAGTTGGAACATTATATGTGCCTGCGTGCTCTCCATAGGGCACTTTGTCTGCTTTAATAACAATGGCGTAGTTGTCGTTTTGCAGTCTGTTAGAAAGAGTCTTGAACAATTGTATCAATTGGTTATGGTTTTGCAAGATCGTTTCCAAAGTGTCCACAATTTCTCGTTCCTCCATCTGCTCTATATGGTTGTATACGCATCGTGTATGAGTTTGTTGCTCCTCATCGCCCATAAAGTAAATTTGTAAGAATTTTGGATCGACATTAGGCATTGGAAGCAATGAACCAATTTGGAGGTACACTTGACCTTGAATCTTAAATGTAGATTCAAAATTACGACCATCCTCATTATGAACAATTTTTGTTGCTCCAAATGATGTCATTTGAAAGCAACAATTGAATTTACGAATTTTCCGCAAAAACAATTCCGATTGAGATGCGCTTCCAGCTAATAATATTTTCAAAGGTTCCGGTGGTGGATTTAACGGTGGAAGTGAAATTTTTCCAGATGCGCAACATAAACCAGCTGATTCACCTTTGTATTTTAAAGCATGACTGTGATGCCACAATTGGCATTACATATTTATTTCCTATCTTTTAAAAAAAATATCTTTCATTACTTAAGCTTATTTTTATTAATAGAAGAACTATATTTAAAATAAATCAAAAACTTAATATTTTTAAACGAACATAAAATATTTATTTCTTCTCTTCTAAATCAATGTAACGGATACTTTTAATTTCATTATTATGCAGACTTATTAATTCACTGTCGCCTCTAATCGAAAACAAAAATCTATTTATAACTTTTTAGTCTAAATTTCCAACTGCTAAATGTTTCGGTTGCATGGTTGCAATAATTCTCATAAATTTGTTGGCGACTCGTGATCGCCAAGGTATTCTTTTAAACCCATATTGATATGCCAGTTGGCTTTGTTTTGGCTATGATATATTATGATAAATTGCCAAATTATGGATCTCCTACCCATACTTTCTACGTCCGTTGGGAATAATTATATTCACTTGGAATTCAAAGAATTCCAAGTGAAAATTTGGTGACTAGGAGTCCCCTTTGGGGGGTTCCTGTCCCAGTCATCCTAACGGTTCAAAAAGATATGCAATCGTAGCAAAATGTTGACAAAGACTTCTTAATGTGGAAGTTATATTTCCTTGATCCCTTCAAGGGATTTATTTTTGATAATTGGTAATTATCGTGATGATTTGTATTGATGGCCATTCTCTATAATCTTCAAGAAATATTGCTTAATAAATTGGATTTTCATATTCACGATTCATATTAATTTCCTGGAGACTTTCATTTTGTTTCATCCATTTACTTTTATTAATGGCCTAAGTGAACATTCATGTATTACACTATACCAATATTGGCGGCTACTGACGGAGACACAAAACTTCCGTCATAATGACAATATTGACACTCGTTGTCCATACTACCGATAAAGATTAATGCATGTGACGAATAGTCTATTTCAGGGTCATATTCAAACGCAAGACGATTAAGTGATGCTCGTATCAATGCTGGATTATCTTGCATTCGCCGTACGCTCGTTGGCGTGTCTCTCGTTGTCTTAATGCATTTGCACGAAGACGTTGATTGCGTTGCTCTGAATTTTCATTTTCACGTGAAGATGCAACTTGATTTCTTGAATTCACATTATCCGTCAAGTGTTCTTCAACTGTTCTATTCAATCGACGATCATGGACCAATTGTGCGTTTCGAGTACGTCGACCAATATTTCTTGCTCTTCCACGAAGACGTGGCATTTCTTTGTAAAACAAATTACTGTAAAATAGTACATAAAAAATATGAGTGATTTATTGAAAATGATATTTTAATTAAGTAACAGGACTGAAAAGATTTATTGTACCAAATTTTAGATAAAAAATTTTTAATTTTATTTTTTTGCTTTTTTTTATTTACTGTTTCAAATAAGAAATTTTAAATAAAAACAATTGAAAAAGTTTTATATGAAATCAATTAGCTTCAC